ACTGACACCAGCCTCAGTCCACTCCTTATGAAGCTCCCCCAGATTTCTGAATCGCCCTTGCTTGACAATCCTCTCAAGGCTGCGGTCATCCCTGTCACTTTTGCACCTTTTCCGGCCACATTCTTCCCTTCTTCTTAACACTCTGTTAATATACTTTGATACTGCGTTCTGTGAGCATCCAGCTTCTTTTGCAATTGCCTTTTGAGACTTTTCCTCCTTATGGAGGGTGTCAATGATGGTCGTCTGCACAACCGTCAAGTCAGCAGTCTTCCCCATGATTCTGAAGCCTACTAAGCCAGACTGAGACAATTTCAAGGCTGAGGAAACCTTTGCAGGTGTTTTGCATTAATTAGCTGACTAGATTGGGACACAGGGAGCCTACAATGTTGAACTTTGTCATGATATTCTAATTTTGTGAAATACTGGATTTGGGGGTTTTTTTTGTCTTTAATCCATAATCATCAAAATTGAAACAAATAAAGGCTTGAAATATTTCACTTTGTGTGCAGTGAACTAATATAACATACAAGTTTCACTTTTTGAAACAAATTATTGAAATAAATGGACTTTTCCTCGATATTCTAATTTTTTGGCACATACCTGTACCAGTTGACAGGTGCCCTTATAACAAGATAATCAGTGTTATTCACATCACCTGCCAGTGGTTTTAATATTGTGGTCACAGAGCACCAGCAAGAGCCACTGCAGCAAGTCCCATAATAGACTAATTAATGAGTGCCATCTGGTGGACACTGCAGAGCTGTACAGTTTCCCATAGTGTTCACCTCAACCAAACAATGACCTGCTACAGGTTGAGCCCAGTGCATGTGCACATAGCTACTTTTCTAATGATTATCAACTTCCCTTTTAGTTTAATTTACACAAATGTAAGCATTTATTACAAAAAAAATAAATAAATACAAAAAATAAATAGGTGGCCCCTATCACTTTTCACTTTTTAAAGAAACATTAACTGCTGGTGTATTATATGAAAAATAATTTTAAAAAATCTGGCTGTATAAGATTCATTGATGTATCCTAATGTTAAAAACCAATTATGTGATTAGCCGTACTTTAAATTAAGTTACAGCTAAAGTAGCCCCTTAGCTTGTAAATGTTTTCCAATGTTAGCATTAGCTAATGTCAGCTGGGTCAAAGAGGTCAAACTTCAGAAGAAGACAAAAAAGAGTGTGTTCTTCCTTTCCACAGCTTGAATTTTCAGGAAAGACTGTCTTCAAACTGTGACAGACCCTCCACCATGCTTCAGTAGCTGGATAACTTGTTGGTTAACACTATTGACCTTGGTGTGGCAGGTCGGGGTTCGATTCTCTATCAAGGCATGATAGCTCATTTGGGAGACAGTGGTTCAGTGGGTATAGCAGTCGTCTCTCAACCAGAGAGTTGGAGGTTCAAATCATAGTGCATGCAGCCCATATGTCAAAGTGTCTTTGAGCAGGACACTGAACCCCAAAGTTCCCCCCGGTGGTTAAAACCATCAATGTGAGTTGGCGCCACAGACGGCTGCCTCGGTTCTGTACTGGAAACAAATTCCTTGTGTGTAACATACTTGGCCAAATAAAGTGATTCTATTCTATGTTTCACTGAAGGCTGCTACACTCATTCTTCCACCTGTCTCTAACCTTTCTTCTCAAATACTGTTGATGATTGGACCCAAACATTTCAAACTTCGATTCACCACTTCATAGTAGTCTTTTGCACTGATCTTTACATCAATTTTTGTGAGCTTTTGCATATCTCAGCCTTTTCTCCCTGCCCCCTTTCTGAACAAGTGGTTTCTTGGCTGCTGTGCTTCCACAAAGGCTGTTCCTCATCAAGCTTCTTCAGACTGGAAGGATCAGCTTGGCATCCAGATGAAGCTGTCAGATGCTGAGCCAGGTCCTTGTCCAGTCTTTCAAAGAAGAATCTCTGAGAGATGTGTCTTCTGACAGTTTTCTTGGTCTTCCATTCCTATTTTTGTCCTTGACCTCTCCAGATTCTTCATATTTCTTTAGAACACCTTGGATACCACATCTTGAGTATCCAGTTTGTTTGCTGATTTTTTTCTTACATTTTTTTGTGTTATTTTTAACACTGTGTCCATATTTCCTGCATTTCTATCTGTATTCAGCTAAATAAATATACAGTGTATAGTCATCCTAACACTACTCAAACAACTACTTTAATATTGGTCTAAGACTTTTGTACAGTACTGTAGCTGGTGAGTGACTGAGGATGTTTTAGGGTTAAAATGCACTAAACAGGTCATTTTATGAGGCCCCAGGCCCCTAGGTACTCCAAATATTCGCTAAGTAGTAATTAGTCAAGTAAACACAAACCAGTTAACAGTTTGTTTAGAAATGTGGACAACTAAATTCTGACTTTAATGAATAATGTAGCCTGTTTCATGCCTCTAAATTACTGCCCACATATTCTGTTCAGGTATTTAAATAATGAATGAACACAATGAAATGTAAAGTCAGTTTACTTTGGCAATTTTATTTACATCACCAAAGCCTGAAATCACAAATTGATGGAACAATAAAGTGATAACAATAGTTAAGTAGAGTTAAAACTTACTGAAGAATATAAATCTGGAAAGACACCAAGCAACGTCCAGTTACCACTAAGCATGACAAGGCACCGAGACAACATGACCTCACCTCTACTATAGTGACCTGGTAAGAAAACAGAAGATGACACGAACACACTGAGACAGAACTACAGACAAAATTCATTCAGAGGGAGATAAGATATTACAATAAGTGTGGCTGACAGCTCAGTCTCCTAAAAGATCAGAGGGTCTGGAATGAGGCAGACAGAAAGAAATGGCAATTCACTCTGATTATGAGGTTATAACTGAGGAGCAAGTGAAAAAATGCAGGTATTGTAGGTTGTGTTACACAGTATGCCCAATATACATTAGAATTACTGGTTGATACAGACAAATTGGAGTAAAAAGGGGTCTTTTTACCTTGATGGGATTTTGTGGGTTAATGCAGTCATTCCAATTTACAGTATTTCTGATTGTGACTGCAGAAAGGTAAACATAGGTTATTCACTCATTAACCAGCAGATGGCGTGTGATGACCGCATTGAGGCCTAAACCACCCACTCGTGATTAGCAATACATGTGAAAAAGGTAAAACTATATTTTTTCAAAAACACTGATATACCATCAGTTAAATTTTCCAGTGAATGTAAAGACACTGGAATATGACAAGAACACACCAAGAATCAGAGGTGGAAGAAGTACTCAGATCATTTGCTTAAGTAAAAGTAGCAATGCCACATATACCACAGTGTACAAATACTTTGTTAGAGGAAAGTCCTGCAGTCAATAACAAAATGTTTAACATATTCTTGGATTATAATTACTAATGCTTTATTGCGTTCACCATATTTAATGTTGCAGGTGGTAGAGGGTAAGCTGATTATAGCCTATATACTGTACCTACTTTGTTGAAGTACTAATAGACTGAAGCACTTTATATAATGCTAGGTATTTTATGATTGTACTGGATTGAGTTTTATTAATCTGACTCTGAAAATTAACAAACCATTCAACTAAATGTAAGCCCAGTGTACTTGGTCCACCTCTGTCATGAAGGTTTAGTTCTCATTTGTGAGGTAACGTTAGACCAGCTCACCTGTATGAGCAGAAGGTATATAGATGCCATAATTCAAATTTAACCAGGTTTGTAAGTCACTACCAACCACCATAAGTTGTCTATACACCCCTGGAAATAGCACGAAGACTTTTTGTTGGGACAATCAACGCCTCGTAAGAAACAATGGGACAGGTGAATTTGAAATACGGCAGTCAGAAACGGTGTCACATTAGTAAGACTACTATCGCACAAGCAGAGGTTACATCTTCAAAATAAAGGCGTTATATAGAAACTTGAATGCAATAACAAGGCTATTGTTAGTCTGTATTTTATTTTGAAAAGCAAATCCAGAAATAGTAATGTAAATCAAGCCACTTTGACAAATCCTCCGCCAACGGAGCCACTAATGTCTAAGCGACAGAAACTTCTAGGTAGCTCTATAAGTTTTCTTTCTTCTGGCGGTGTTATGCACACTTTTATTTTCCGACGTGACCGGGTGACACAGCTAGTTTAGGCCTGTCCGGTTAATGTTTGGTTGGCCAGTCGGGAGGAAACGTAAAACCAAACTGTCCAATGCATACGCTAGCGTCAAACGGATCCACCATAATGGACCTGGACTCGGAGTTGGTGAAAATTAAAGCGCATTACTGTGGGTAAGTTAAGTAGCGAGCCGCAGGCTGTAAGCAGTTTTCCGGCTGCTCACGATGAAAAGAGGAAACACCTGTAGAATTGAGACTTTGGATGTGTAACGTTAACAGTGTTATGGGTCAGTATGTTTCAGCAGGGCTCCTTGGAAGCTGGTCACTCCTGCATAACAAGTTACCTGACAAACTCACCTCGTTATAGTAAAAATAGTAATGATTCTGAAATGTTTTCGACTCCGATAAAAGGTTCCTTTTATTTAATTGCACTGCATACAGTAATGTGCTTTTACACTAGCCTCAGTGTCAGTTTATTGTTGTGGGTGTTACTTTGGTCTGGGCTCTATAATCATAGACAAGCATAACACTGCTGTGTTACATTACAGTTTCTATGCTATGTTACTTAAAGGACATCTCATATCTAAGTCATTTGTTTGCTCTTTGTGGAAACATATCTTTACAGTTATCATTTTCTTCCATAACCCACTCTCTTTTACTTATTGCTTTAGTGTGGGTCCATGAGAAGATGCAAATATTTACTTGTGATGATAAAACAAAATTTCATTGTTATGACTGAGGCTATTTCATGACTTCAACACTTTACTAGACACTGATAAAAAATGCAATGATGCCACTAAAAGCTGGGTAAAGTAGTAATATAACACTACTGAAGGTCAGTGAAAAGAACTATATTCTTATTCCTCCTATTTTCACGTCTGCCTCAGGTACACTGTTTCACAGAGCACAAACACATTGTGTATCCATCACTCCTCACTGGATCATATAGGTTTACTGGCTGCACTGTTTGTGGACTTAAATCACTGCACCTTGCTGCACAATATAACCACATCCAGATTCTTTTCATGCTGCCTGATCTCTTGACAGCATGTGGTTATGTCTTCTTTGATCTTAAGCTCAACTTGAACAAACAAAATATTTCTGTTTTTCTTTTGAGTCCAAAGACTTTCCATACCTAGAGATTTTTATCTTGCAACAATCTAGAAAGTATGTGTGTGCATCATTTCTTTCTCCGCTGACTTGATGTGATTCTTTGTTAGTAAAACATTTTACTGATGCAATTTGTTCACAAGTAAACTGTGGAATTTCATGTGTTGTTTAAATATTTTGTGCCAAAGCATGTTACAGGTGGTATTTGAGTGTTTTACCCCCTAAAACTTAGAGTTTAACTGTTTTCCTTACTATTGCGTATTTCTGCTTTTCATATCTGTGCTTGTATTATAGTATTTTTCTTGAGTACTGCATTATTAGTGTAAGTTCAGTTATTTTATTTATGTTGGTACAATCTGTATTCAGTGATCGAAGCCACAGACGGCGTACATGAGCTCAGAAACAAAAAATGGGAAGCAGATCAGCTTCTCCACACACTAATAACAACAACACAGTATCATAGGCATCCCACACAGACTAGCAGCAGCAAAGAGGAGGTGAATGATCCAGATTCAGGGTTGCAACTAACCATTGTTTAGGAATAATCAATCACTAAAATGTGGAATTTTAAAATGAAGACAAAAGCTGCTATATTCTGCTGCTCAGAAAACTATTTTATTTAAACTGTGCTGTATGTTGTTCTACTTGAAATGACAAATACATTTTAATTTGATATTAAATGCTAGCATCCATTGTGACCTTGGCTCAGTTAGCGTGTTAACTGTTTAAAATGTTAGCATGGCAGCTGTTAGCATGACGTATTGTTTACATAGCATCACCATGCTAATGTTAACATTAGCTTTAAAGGATAAGGCTGGTCATTTTCTATATTAATGGTGTTTTCAACACTGCTCATACAGAGACTGATTGTCATTGTTAGTCTCTGGATGGGGAGTGTTTAAAATACTATTAATGCAGAAAATGACCGGCCTTGTCCTTTAAGCTCAAGGTACAGCTGATTTGATCACAGACAGGCTGATGCTTTTGTCTTTGGTTATAATAGGGTAAGGTTTTAAAAAGTAGTAAGAACTGATGAGAGCATATAGACTGGGATTAATTTTTAACATCAACAAGGAATTTCATTAGTATCCCTTAAATTAGGCATTTAAAGAAATGTGACTAAGATACAGTATGTAGTGACATTTACACTGTAAAAATAAACTTGTTAGGTTCCTCTGTTGAACAAACAATTTAATGGAGACACTGTTGATTTGATTTTTTGATTTTGATTTGATTTGATTTATTCTTTCAAACATGCAAAACAGAACACATGACAGCAACACACACATAGTTACACATATCCAACCAATGCTAATCCAAAATCAGCAGAAGTTACATTATTAAACCATGTTTCTGAAAAAGCAATTATATTAAAAGAGTGTGTAAGACTACTAAGATAATGTTTTATACTCTGAAAGTTTGCATATAAACTTCTGTTCACAAATAATTTGAGATATACAATATTCTTTGCATTGCAATATTGCATGGACTTGCTATTTATCTGCAGAGACACAGATATACTGTATCTGTGATAAGCTAATATCAGCCGATAATGGAGACCTTTTCTTGTGACTGCACTCTTAGTCATGTCACCTGATAAATGAATTAAAAGATTATTAATATAGAAATATTATCAGTTGTTTAAATAACTTATCATTTCAGAACTAGCTAGTGGAATTAACAGAAACAGGTTCCACAGTTTTCTGAGCATGGTGTTCACTGGCGTCTCGTGATTAATCAGAAAAGGATAAACAGACCAAAATATTACTATTAAAATAATAAATCTGACATTAAAAAGCCACCTTATCCAAGAGTTGGTTAATCCATGCAGCCTTCTTAAAGGACCACAGTGCAACACAACATTGTGATGAGTTGTAGTCTGCTCTTTTATTCCTAGGAGAGTGAAGGGGTTTCAAAGAGGTAAACGGTTTTAGAGGCAATGTTCTATTGTTTATCTGTTAGTTTTATTCAGATGGATTATTAGTGAGTGTTAGTCAGGATGTGGCCACTGGAATGTTTTTTTCTGACAGGGCAGATCTCTTTACTGTTGACATGTTGCTGTGAATGTCAGAGTAGTGTTGCAGTTTCCTGATGAAGTTACTCTAAACTCTGATTTGGGTCAGAACTCCTTGGTAATGTATTTTTAGAAGGCAGTGTATATACAATGTGTATACAGGGGCTGCATACACATTGTATATCTAATCAGTTTCAACCCTGCTGCATGACATGGTATATGCATTTAACCTCTTTTTACCATTCAGGTCAGACTGTTGGCTCCAGCTACAGTAAATGCCTGTTCACACAGACCTTGATGAAGAACTGCAGTTCTACATACAGATTAGATATCGCAGACCAAGTGGTGTGACGTCAAGACATAATTTCTGTATTCAGTCTCTTTGTGAATAGTTAAAACAGCTTTTGGAGTATTTATCAAATGAACTGGGCAGATACAGCATCTGGGTCCATTACCACAATTATACAAAGTACAGTCAAAACATTGGCAGAATTTTGATTTAAATCACAAACCACCTGATGAAAGTGAAGGATATTATGAGTCTGACTTTTGTTGCCATCTTGGTATTTTTTATACTACCACTAAAGATACAGTTCAGTGGTTAACAAAAAGATAATGAAATTTAGTTGCCAGCCTTACTGAGAAAAAATATGGCAGAGAGGAGCAAGATGTTGCCATCAGTATTTGCAAAACTTTGTACTCTAGTATTGATTAGATCTGGGATGATTGCATGATTAATCAATTATTTGGTTGACAGAAAATTTATTGGCAACTATTTTTATACTTGAATGATTGAATAGCTTTTTGTAATTTTTCAAGCACAAATTTCAATTGCTTGTTTACACTCATCCAAAATGGGGATTCCCCCTTTTCTCTGATCTGTATCCTTGTAAACTGATTATCTTGGGTTACTGAAGACATCACTACAGACTATTTTAGCAATTTTCCAAAAGTTAAGCAAGAAAATAATTGGCATGAATACAATTGCTAGTTGGAGCTAGGTCTAGGGGATTAATCAAATTTTATTTTCAATTAAGATTTTCGCTTCTACTGATTATGGTTAATAGATAATTTTAGATAAAACTAATATTATGCCACATTCCATTTCACAATGATGCTCACGTTTTATCTTGTGTAATAAGTCCAGCACACCCCTATCTTTTACAGCAGTGACCTTTTGCCCCAATATTTTATTTGTAAAATAAATGTTGAGTAGCAAGTAATTTCCTCTGAACTCAATCACAGTGAGGTGATTTGCTTTTCAGCTGAGTTGTATTTAAAGATCAAGAAAATTTAGTGTTAAGCAGACACGTTTTCTTGTTAAGTTTTCCACAATCAATTAGTGATCATGCATATTGACCGAAATAATCAATATCATAATTTAGAATTTTGTCATAACTGAGCAGCAATATTGTCATATACAGTATAAAAAGTGTTTATGACAGCAGACGTTAGTTAATGCAGTGTCAGATCCACTTTAAACACAGTTTGGGAGTAGGTTAGCTTACAAACAAACAGATAACCCCCCCATATATTTAATTCTTTACCTATTTTTACATTATCATTTTACATAGCTGCATTTATTAAATCTAACGGAGAAAGAGAGAGAAATTTTAACTTGCTTCTTATCATTTGCCAAGTTAAAGGTAAAATAACAATAAGAGACAAAGAAAGACATGTTTTTGTTTTCAATCCACAACTTTTTTTAAAATTTGATTTTCACAGTTTTTTTCCAAATTAGATTGTTATTGATATGGTTTTATGTATTTTAATATTTAAAATAAATAACAATGCAGATTTAATTTTTTAATTAAAACCAGACAATCCAGTAATGAGTCTTATTATCAGCAGCCATATAGACTCCCCTCAAAGAATATTTTTTGTGTGTTTATTAATAGTGCAAGAGAAATGATTAGCTCGAAGATGCATATGACAAGACAGAAACAACAACAATCTTAAGTAACTAACAAGTGGTACATTTAGAGTTTCTTGCTGCATTACCTGTGCAGGTAGGTGTGAATATAAGAATAAATGTGGAATGTGGAAGACAAGAGGTTTCATTTTATTTAGATTTTGTTTTTCCTTTTCTCTTCTCTTAAAAGAATAATTTTTAAGGGAAATCATTTTAAGGTAAGGGATTGCCAAAACAGTTTTCATGAAGTTGTTGTGGTCTGGTTGCTGTGTACAATTGGATGTAGAGCTTACTTGCAGTCCCTTAAGTGTATTAGCATTTTCTTGAAGTCTCCACATACACTCAAGCTACTGTAGAATGAAATCACTGACACTACAATAACTATATATGGTTGATACATGAAGTTTAAGGGTCTGCATAATGTCAGCAGTCTATAAAATCCAGCATAGTAAACATACATAAGGAAATATTATAGAATATTGTAATCTAACAGTAAACCGTGTTAACATACTCCACAGTCACAGATCAATAATGTCAGCAGACGCTGCCCCACAATCATCCATCATCATACTGTATCTGAGATATCCTCAAACTGTTAAAACCTTTAACAGAGCTTGTGGGGAACAGACTAATGGCTGGCTTTCTTTCACACACAAAGATGTCTTTGGTTATATTTTGTGTAGATTAATTACCTCCATTCAGTCTTAATGGAGTTTCCCAGAATACAGTTAAAAGTGAAAACAGGATCTGATGGATAACACACAGTGAGTCGTGCAGTACCTGAGCCCGAGGTGACAGAAACATTTTGATTAGAGAGATCAAAGATTAACCTGTTCATTCCTACGTTTATGCTGTGGTACATGACCAATCCCTTATGTGTTGAGCGTTCTTGAGAATGTGCACTCAGCAAATAGTGCAAGGGTCAGCCTAAGCCTTTGGTCCCACACTCTATGTGCTTAGGATGCCTGCAAAGAGGAGGTTGGAGACCCTTCTAACACTGTACAGTGTGTGTTTAATTAGATCAGAATGTTGCACTGGTGTTATTTAAGGTTTATGTTCATCACAGAGTAAAAACAACCAGATCTCATTTAATACTGGATCAGTATGATGTAACCCTGGCAAACCAATATACGGTGCAGGCATGGCCCTGCTCTCTCTCTCTCTGTGTGTGTGTGTGTGTGTGTGTGTGTGTGTGTGTGTGAGACCTCATTCCATATTGACCTGCGTGGAGCAGTGCCTGAACAGGAAGCAAGCTGTCTCTGCTCCACTGTGCCAGAGTCCAACAAACACTTGCCATAAACACTTGGCCACACACACCCAGACACCTGCGAGACACACTCACATGTGCCCAGTCGCTGTAGCTCTGCATTTTTACCTTTGTTTACAGGATATCATCAGAGTAGCTGCACTGTTGATTGTGAATACATACTTCCTACAGCATGCAGCAAAGAAGTGAGGGTTGGTGTTGAAATTGATCATGCACACCCTTATTTAAAATAGCTGTCAGCTGATAAGGGTTTTAAAGGCCAGTATCGATATGAATTTCAGCCACATTGTACTTTCTGTTTAAGATCAGCATTCAACAACAGAGATAGCAAACAAAGAATATATTGGCCATTAGTTTCAGCCAATGTCTGTCCCAGCTGTCTAGTTTACATCTTAGTAGTACAAGGTTTGTGATTATTACCTTGTGACTTGTTTGATAAAGTTCAGTGTTTTCATAGGATGTCTATGTATATTGACTCCTAAGCTCATCTGTCACTTTAGATCAAGATCAAAGTTTTTTTTATTGTCAATTCAGACATGCAGAAAATTGAAATACCATTTCTCTATCACCTAGTGTTGAATGCCATACCATTTAGGAAAATTAAATGGACAGTGTTCAGCATCCTCGGTGGATGAAGCTGTTTGTAAGTCTGGTGGAGTGGGCCTGAAGACTGATACCTTCTCCCTGACAGGAGTCTGAAATGGGAGTGTGAGGTGGCATCAGCAATGCCGATGGCTCTGCGGGTGTTAAAGATGTCTGTAAGGGAAGGCAGAGGGGCGCCAATGATCTTGCTGGCTGTATTCACTATGCGTTGCAGAGTCCTTCTGCAGGAGGCAGTACAGGCTCCATACCACATAGTGATGCAGCCAGTGACGATGCTCTCAAAGGTGCCCTGGTAGAAGGAGCGCATGAGGGGGGTGGGGACACTAGCTCTCAATTGATTGCTGAAGACAGTAGTGAGCAAATGAAAAAAGAAAGTGAGGCCAAAATATAATCTTCATTTTGTCAAGAAATGACTCCAGGTATAAATTTATTAGTGTTTCTAGTAGTATTGCTATTACCTGTATAACCTGTATGACCATTGTAGCTGCTGTAGTTACTGCTACTGTAGCTCCAGCCAGTTTGTGTCTCTTATGTGATGTCAGTATTTGGTGATAATCCAGGTCAATAAAAACACATTTTTGTATTTCCAGAATCCTCCTTACCATCTGGATGAAAAATGCTCCATCACCAAAAAAATAAAAAACATTTTGAAGTGCCAAAATGATTTACTATTAATGACAGCCAGAAATAACATGCGCCTGCTCTATTAGTGGGATGCGAACCAAAACTGACACATTATTTAGTTGTATTTCTTTATGTTAATGTTACTTTTTTGTTTTAGTTTTGACAGTAATTTTTCATTTTTGTTGTATTATACAAAAACAGAAACGTTTGTCTTTAGAGGCTAGTAGAATTTGAAAATACAATTACAAACAGAAATGAGTTTAAAATCTTTTATATCGTGCTGCCAACTTAATGTTTTTTTCATGCAGATGGTTAAAAGAGTCTTTGAGGATTTGGAGGTGAGTGTACTGCTCCTGTAACCACGGCTGGACTGCACCAGGCCTTTTTATAATTTTGACAAACCCATGTATTGTCTTGAGACTTTGTGCTCTCATTTATAGCAGAAGCTGAGATGTCCCATTTTTATGGGTCAAGCTCCAAAGACGCTGGTTCCTACAGCAACTTCACGATATCTTTAATTACACCCTCCCTTCCTGGAAAATATTTTACATGTTCAGGCTTTTTGTTACATGTGAAAAAAAAATAATAATGAGTAATAATGTTAAGCTGCTGTGCAGACCTTGAGTTATTTCAGAGCTTTCAACCACTGTATACTGTCTTCATCATGGGGTTGTGCAAACATCATTGGTGCTGAGATTGTTAAAGGTCAAGAAGACACTTTAACGCTTGTTATAAATCCACTGTCCTGCCTGAAAAGTTTCCCTTATGATAAGTAAACTAACCTTTTAGGTCCAAAATCACTGGAGAGGCTCTTAAATCTCCTTTATTTGTCCAAACTCAGGATGACACCTGAATAATACAAACTTATGATGATGCCAATTCACCTCAGTGCAAGCTGGCAACAGCTGAGACTGGCCTGAGTAGTCAACGCTGCACAGCAGACGTTGTCATCCTGGTCTTTGTGGGTTATTGTGCTACTAACTCAGCCTTTACTCTGTGGGCGTGCAAACTTGCTAACTTGCACGCCCACATATTCTGTAAATACCTTTCCAGGTAACATAATCAACATAATTTAGGAGTGAGCCTCCTTGGCTCTACAATATCATACCATTGGAGAAATTTACTTAATTGTCATTTTGTTGTTGACTCTTTGGAACCCACTGAGGGATCCGCTGATCTCTGCTGCACTTAAAGAAAGTGACTCATCTTGGCATTTTCTGTTTGTGTGTGTGCATTCAGGCACATGCTGATCACACACTTGGCTGCCACCGTAACCTTTGTGGAGTTGTGTGAGGAGGTGAAAGTGATGTGCAGTGTTACCAAGCAGCAGCCCATCACACTCAAGTGGATCGATGATGAAGGTGGGTGTGGCTTGGGTTCAGTTACAGTACATTAGTCTGTGCGCACCTTCTCATACTGAAGGCACCTGCTGTGTCCTTGTAGGCTATTGCTAACGCCTGGCTCAGAAATACACTATGGTGGCCACAAAGTCCATTTTCTGAGCTTCTGGCCAATCCAAAAGTCATCACTACCACCTCACACTACACACTGGAATGATTTGAAGTGCTCACATCCATCTGTCCACACTCTATAATTGTTTTTTACAAAAATCTTTTGTATTAGGACATTTAAATTGTTGCCACTCAGCATAAAGAAAGGAGTTAAGTTCAGTGGAGTGACAAGAAAAACCTGAGGGTTTGTGAAATCTTTAATAGGATCAGAAAACAGACATTTTATTTTTATGTTGGCCTCCTTTCTTGTGAATTAGTGGAAGGTTTTATCTTTACTGGCCTCTATAAATTATTCAAATAAATGACTCTGAGAAGGTAGAAGCACTCTGATGATAAATAATATTTCAGTGTTACATCCATTTAGCCAGATAGAACATGTTAACACGAAATGGATGACTTGAAAGTATCTGGCCATTATATATGAATGTGTGTCTGTCTGTGTGTGTGTGTGTGTAGGGGACCCTTGTACCATCTCGTCTCAGATGGAGCTAGAGGAAGCATTTCGTATTTATAATCAAACCAAGAAGTCTGAACTGCTGCTGCATAGTGAGTAAGCTCCTACTTTTTTACCACAGTGGACATCTTCTGAAAACCACAGGACAGGCACACACACAAGGATTTAAGGAATAACAAGGCACTTGACAAACTTCATGCAATCCTTTTATTCGTGGATTTACTGTACAGATTTTTCTGATGACTTTATTTTACCATGAAACACTTGGGAGGATATTAAGGCATAAAGAGTTTTTGTGTTCATCTTCTGGATTGCACATCTGGATACAAGTCACATTTTATTTAGGGGAAAATGGGGTCAGAAGAGGCTAAATTAGATCATCTGGACTGAGAAAATTCAGACTTCTTGTGCTGTACACTAGTCATGAACATCACTACTGTGAACCAGATAGTTTTTTCTTTTTTGCTGTTTCTGCTCTTCAATCCATTTTGTTCCTTGAGGCATGACATTTTTGTAAAACCCTTAGGGTTTTCTTTTTAATGACCTGTGTATTTTATTTTCACACTTCTGCTTAGTGACAGGAGAAGAAAAATGACATTTAAATAGTCCATTTCTTTTTATTTTCTGTCTTTTGCAGTTTTCCCCAGTGTACCGGAACAGCCTGGAATGCCCTGCCCCGGAGAGGACAGTGAGTAAATCAACTCTGCTCTCACTTTCTATTCCCTTTTAGATCTCCTAGATACAGTGATGCTCCTAATACTGTGTAGTCATGGATAAACTGTATTATGCTGTGGAACTATCACTGTTAAACTGAGTTAAACACCTCTGTAGAAACATGGCTGTGGTGTAAGAACAAGGCTGAGAGGTCTTTGGATGTTTTTGGACTGATATAATAAATGCATTTTTCCAGGAACCCCAGAGCTTTTTAGGAACACAGGAACCTTCCTTGTGTTTTGAACTGAGAAAACTAGGTCTACATTTTACCCCATAGACACAGCTCCTGTTGCCAAAACAGTCACTGGCCTGCAGTAGTACTTTTTGATGGTCCAGGAGCTTATGAGGCAGAGTTTGGAGTGCTGTCATTAGGGTGAGGGATGGGCATTTTTGGTAATGTTTATTGTTGTTAAAAGCTAAGTTATGTTGGCAACTTTCTATCCAAACAGAGTGTGAATTAATTTAAACAAGATATTTTCTTACCTTAAAAAAACTTAGATATATTACAGGATTTATTAAAATAATACATTACGGCTGAAACTAAACTGTTACTTTAATTTTATTATTTGAAAGTCCTCTTTAATTCTGTATATTCAAACGGCTTGATAGAGGAAAGGATGTGGTCATTAAACTTATGGAGGCTTCAACTTTGGTGAACTTTGTCACATGAATTCAAACAAAGATGATGGAAAGCCAGAGAGTTTACTGTCTCGATAGTAACATGTTTAATGAAGACTGCATCGTCAGACCTACAGCCTGTGTGGTCTATAAGATAATATCGTAATAGTAGCTCATACAGATAGCCACGGTCATCTGACAGTAAAACATGGTAGCAGATTAGCTGGCTTGTACTTGTTTGTCATGTGAGCTTTGCCTTTGCAGGTTGTAGTGGTCCCTCAAAAATCTCTCCTCTTGTTCCTGGCTACTGGATAGCATTAGCATTAGCATATTTCTTCTTAACCACCATGCTATGGTTCAGCTCTACAGGCATGACTTGTCAATAAACACTGCAGTTCTCTATGCCTCTAAATTTCCAGCACCACCCATTTCATGAATATTCACTAATAAAGATTGGTTGTATCACTTTTTGGTCTGACTGGCTTCTGAGTGTAGTCCTATAGTTAGCTCATCAAGTATTGAAAATGCATCCTTTGGGAAGCATGTGCTGAGTCCTTCTTGTACAGTATATAATGGGAAATTTGGACTAAAGTAGAGGTCAAGGGTCAGTAAACATTAGGATTCAATATGTGAAACCTTGTTATCTTATGCAAATTTCATGCTGGTTTGGTCTCTAATGGTCAAACCTCTGAGATCTGCGTCATCACAGTGACTGTCTTTAAATTCTGGATCCTTGAATGACTTGTGAACGTCTCTTAAATCAGCATGTAAATACAGACGTGGACAAAATTGTTGATACCCTTCCATTAAAGAAAGAGAAACTCACAATGGTTACTGAAAAAATGCGAAACTGACAAAAGTAATAATAAACAAAAATTTAGTGAAAATTAACTAATGAAAATCAGTCATTGCTTTTGAATTGTGGTTCAACAGAAGCATTTTAAAAAACAAACTAATGAAACTGGCCTGGACAAAAATGATGGTACCCCTAGAAAGGATCGAAAATAATTCGACCATAGAGACATGTTAAACTGAAATGTGTCCTCTAATTAGCATCACATGTGCTTTCAAACTTGTAATCAGTCAGTCTGCCTATTTAGAGGGTGAAAAGTAGTCACTGCTGTTTGGTATCATGGTGTGTACCACACTGATCATGGACCACAGAAAGCTAAGGAGAAAGTTGTCTCAGGAGATTAGAAAGAAAATTATAGACAAACATGTTAAAGGTAAAGGCTATAAGACCATCTCCAAGCAGCCTGATGTTCCTCTGACTACAGCTGCTCATATTATTCAGAAGTTTAAGGTCCACGGGACTGTATCCATGGACGTGGCCGCAAGAGGAAAATTGATGACAAATTGAAGAGGCGGATAATGCGAATGGTAACAAAAGAGCCCAGAACAACATCCAAAGAGATTAGAGGTGAACTCCAAGGTCAAGGTACATCAGTGTCAGATTGCACCATCCGTCGCTGTCTGAGCCGCAGTGGACTTCATGGAAGACGACTGAGTAGGACTCCACTGTTGAAAGCAAATCATAAAAAAGCGAGAATGGAAGTTGCCAAAATGCATATTGACCAGCCACAAAGCTTCTGGGAGAATGTCCTTTGGACAGATGAGACAAAACTGGAACTGTTTGGCAAGTCACATCAGCTCTATGTTCACAGATGCAATAATGAAGCATACGAAGAAAAGAACGCTGTACCTACTGTGAAACATGGAGGAGGCTCAGTTATGTTCTGGGGCTGCTTTGCTGCATCTGGCACAGGATGTCTTGAATCTGTGCAGGGTACAATGAAATCCCAAGACTATCAAGGCATTCTGGAGCGAAATGTGCTGCCCATTGTCAGAACGCTTGGTCTCAGTCGCAGGTCATGGGCCCTTCAACAGGATAATGACCCAAAACACACAGCTAAAAACACCCAAGAATGGCTAAGAAGAAAACATTGGACTGTTCTGAAGTGGCCTTCTATGAGCCCTGATCTAAATCCTATTGAACATCTGTGGAAAGAGCTGAAACATGTAGTCTGGAGAAGGCACCCTTCAACTATGAGACAGCTGGAGCAGCTGGCTCACGAGGAGTGGGCCAAAATACCTGTTGACAGGTGCAGAAGTATCATTCAGAGCTGCAGAAATCGTTTGATTGCAGTGATTGCATCAAAAGGTTGTGCAACAAAATATTAAGTTAGGGGTACCGTCATTTTTGTCCAGGCCAGTTTCATTAGTTTGTTTTTAAAATGTTTTTGTTGAGCCACAATTCCAAAGCAGTGACTGATTTTCATTAGTTAATTTTCAGTAAATTTTTATTCATTATTACTTTTGTCACTTTCACGTGATTTCAGTGACCATTGTGAGTTTCTCTTTCTTTAATGGAGGGGTACCAACAGTTTTGTCCTGTACTTGTACTACAATTTCAACAGCAAGTTTTCTGAATTTTCTGCTCTTCACACATGGCACACATGTACTTTGTGTAAAAGAAACCTAAAGATTGTTGTTAAAGTTTAATATCAGGTCAGTTATTGTTGTGTAAAGGTGACAAAGTCACAGCAGTCTCTGCTGCTCTGTCTCTTTCTCTTGTAGTCTTGTGTTGTTTGTTGCACTCCGTTTGCTGTGACAGCATGTTTCAGCAGTTTGTGGGCTGCACTCCTGACTGTTTGTGTGTATGCTTGTGTGTGTGTGTGCATCTGTGTGAATGTATGTGTGTTTTGAAGGGAGACCGGTGCATTTGTCCTGAAGTAGACAATTGGTTTACTGTGTGAAGAGCAGAGTGTGATTCTGTTGGTAGGTAATGAAAGATACACACATGTAAAGTCTTATACACACATCAAGTTTAGTGTATTTGTGTGCTGTGTAATGCTTAGCTTGCTGTGCCCTGTGGGTGATGCATATTATTGTATGTGCACCAGTAATAACATTGGCTTCCTGTTGTCTTTGCTCCCATTTAAACCTTGTTTGCTTAGTCTAGGTGTACATGAGTGGAAAGAGGAGGGAAGGATAGTACTGCTGTTTTCAGGGAGGAGGAGGAGGAGGAAGGGAGACATTGTTACTCATTCATTTCAAGAATGTGTCTGTGTTTTTCAAGGCTAACTCTGTTATCTCCTGATAAAATATGCAGTAGCTAATACTTTGTGAAGACACTGTAACATTTAAATGGTCAGTTCGCCCAGTACTGAACAGTACTGAAAAAGTTAGGATGTCAAGATTAACATAAAGTCTCTGGACAATATATATAAGACAATAGGTCAATTTAAATCAAGCCTCTTGGAAATATTTTCATACAAACAAGTTCAGGAGCCATTTATCAGCTTGACTAAATATTTCCAATTTGCTTGATACTTTACACAGCCTTTGGTTAACACAGTTTTATATTTTCAAATCTAAGGACATTTCCTTGTACATAACAGAGAGCAAGTATTAAGCCCAATTTATGGTGGGGTCTCCACATTGCAGTGTGGAGATAGGGGATTAGATAAGGTGAGATGGTCCTAGTGTAGTAAAAGTCGCAAGGGAAGGGGCTTTTGGTCTCTGGAGCCAGAATCTGGGCTCCCCATCTGATAAGGAGATGTAGTGTGTGCTCAGAGGGCAGTTTGCATGAAACTGTCTTTTAGCTGAAACGAAGCAGACAATCAGCTTAGTTGTGGGGACAGAGCAAGGTCTCTTTCCTGTTTCTCAGTGCCCAGAATCAAAGTTAGTTTATTAATTCTGAATATTCTGAGTTCCTCAGGATAACACATCTCTTCAAAATGTCTGCTTTGGACTTTTGGATACTACATAAAGGAGGAATGCAATACTACCAACCCCAGTGAGTGAATAACCGTATTATCACCAACACAATGCAAGTTCTGTGTGGGTGTACAAGTGAAGGCTCATCAGATGGGCTCCCTCTCACTAAGCAGTGTTTCGTTGAGTTGGGCCCACGACACCGAGAAGGCTCAGCAGTGTATTCCGGCATCCCAGAACCACCCCCCTCTTTACCTGCACCCACACACCCACACACCCAACACAGCCCTTCATCTACTCAGGCCAGCTGTTACCAGTCAGTAGCACTTGTAAACATTTCAGCTGCTGTCCACCAAACATTTAAAATAACTCACCAAAAAATTCAGATAGCTCACTAAATAACTAGCCAAACTTGTGCTTCATCAGAAATCACCCTGTGTTGGTATTCACTCTAACAAACCAGTCAAACTTATAATATGTCCTCTTGTTAGCTTGCTTATGCTAACACCAGGAAGAATGCCTCAAGCCTGTTGGTGTATCAAACATTTTTGTTAAGCCTGTCCTCCTATGCTATTTTACTTCACATTAGCAGGCATAATCCGCACATACTGTATGTTGCAGTTTACAATTTGTTCAGAG